TGATGTTTCTATCTCTCCCTCTCCCTTCCACTCTGGGAAAAAAAAAAAAAAAGTTGTGGTGTATTTACACCACAATGCTACTCGGCTCAAGAAAAGAAGGAAATCTTACCTTTTGCAACAGCATGGATAGACCTGGAGATTATTCTGTTAAGCGAAGTAAGCCAGTCAGAGAAAGACAAATACCATATGATTTCTCTTATATGTGGAATCCAATGAACAAAATAAACTGTCAAACAAAATTGAAACAGAGGCATGGATATAAGGAACAGACTGACAGCTGTCAGAGGGGAGGGGATGGAGAGACTGGATGAGAGAAGGTGAGGGGATTAGCCAAAAAACATATATACATAACACAAAGACACAGACAACAGTGTGGTGATAGTCCCAGGGAAAGGGGGTGGGGGCTAGGTGGAGATGGGCATAGGCGGGGAAATGGAAAGAGACTTTGCTTGGGATGATGGGCGCACCATGCAGGGTGCAGATGATGTTTCATTGAGTTGTACATTTTAAACCTGTATGGTGTTGTGAACCAAAACCAACCTAAGAAACTCAATTTTTTTTAAAAAAAGCAATAGAACATTTGAATAAATAAAAATACGCCTTTCTCAATTTTTTTTCCCTTCAGTTTTCAATCCTCAAGCAGTTGTGAGCTGGGTTTGCATTTCTGATTACTTGGCAGGAAGACCTGCTGAGACCTTCAAAATAGTCTTGTCAGCCTTTGAAAAACCAGCTTCCAATTTGGCAAAATTCCTGATCAATTATTAAAACCTTTAAATTCTGTTGAAATATACCAATTTTTATAATCTTATATCTCAATCATCTCTAAACAATTTCCACCTTGTTGGGAAATTTCTGGGTTTTCCCTTCTGTTTCTTTTAATCCCTTGTTGTGTTAGAATCTATAAGACCCAATTAGCAGAGATAGCAAATTCAAAAGGCTTAGCATTTGTATTTATTTTTGTCCCATTGTGTGTGTTTATCTTCTTAGTGCTGGGCAATTGTACTTCCAATATTCTATTTTTCTCAATGCCCTAATTTTTTACAATATCTTCAACTATCTGAAGGTACATAGGAAGGGGTCTGAGTGAGTTTTGATTTTCTAATTTTTGTCCTTTCATCTTTTAAAAAAATTTTATTTATTAAATTGATTGGGGTGACATTGATCAACATGGACACATAGGTTTCAGGTGTGAGTTTCTATGTTATAAGTTCGGTATATAAGACAAAAAATAGGTAGTCAGGATGGTGCATGCAGTATCTCTGGTCTTCCACCAAATGTGAGACACTTCCAGTCACAAACCTGCTAATCTGTGACAGCTCGAACAACAGGCTTACAGAAAGTCTGCAAGTCTGCGCTTGTGTTCTATCCCTATGGTATTTCCTTCTTATGACAAATAGCACAAGAGACATAGACAGAAAAAAAAATGGCTTCCTCTGGGAGGAAAGATTCAATAAAGAAAACCCAAGAGTCAGTAGGCCCAAGAAACTAGCTTCATAAATATTTTCTCTTGCCAATGTAAGTTTAGAAGAGAGAAAATAATTCTCATCATTTCTAACTTGTCATTTTCAGTAAGGTTGAACCATTAAGATTTTTTTTTTTTTAAAGGATGAATGAGCCCCATATTGTTCTCTCATAACAACTGGTGTTTTGTGGGAGGGGCAGGGGATGTCTTGAGTTTGACTTCCCCCAATTTAAATTGCTTTCAACCAATCAAGGCTGGGAAGTTGTTTCTGGTCGGTAGAATGCTGCTTTCTGGTGCCCATCCCATTGGGTCGCTGGCTACTTACTCTCTTATCTTCAGAGTGGAAAGCCAACCCTCAGTAGATAATTTCCAAAACAGCTTATAACTTTGGTCTGGAGCAAAAACCCAAACTAATTACATGGAATGGCCACCAGATGTCACTATGAGTTCAATTATCTCAGACAAAGAAAAAATATACAGGAACATTAAAATTGAGGGTGTCCTTCAAAAACTCACCACTGAGGTAATTCTCTCCTTCACATTTGTGGTACCGAATTGGTACTGACACAGTATCAGCATGAGGAAATAATTCCTCACCACCTCCTGGGCTGCCACCTTCTAATACTCTCCTGAAAGATACTCTCTGGCACAATATAGTCCTGGGCTTCCACCAAAAGGCAGGTGTTCCTAAGATCCAAGACTTTGAAGGTGCAGAAAGGGAGCACACTAGGAGTCCCATGAGCCTCAAGGGTATGTAGATGTCACACTTTGACCTTGACCCAAAGAGCAGCATTCCTCTCTCCTTCTCCAAAGTTTAGCCCCACATTAGGCACCAAATGTTAAGCACAAAGTTTATAGTTTTTAAGTAAAATTGGCTATGTGTATTAAAATTTTTTTTACTGGAAATAATCTTATTTCTCAGCAATTCCCTTTCTGAAATTTATCTGGGAGTGTGCAATGACATTGCTACAAGGATGTTTTGTGAACAATAGGAAGCTTGGTTAAATTAATTATGGTACATAATAAACAATAGAATACCATGCAACCATTAAATATAGAGTTGTAGCAAGATATTGAGTGACAGGGAACCATGTTTGCAATAGAGCAATTTACAAAATAATAATAGCTATCATTTATTTTGTGCCAACCAGTGAGAATGACTGTTCAGTGCCTTACACACATGATCTCATTTAATCTCTGTAACTACCTTGAGATATTGTTTCCCCTGATCACCAATAACCACCTAAAGACTAAGTAACTAGCTCAAGTTCAAATCTCCAAGGTGTAGGAGAGCCAGGATTCAGACACAGGCTATCTGACTCCTGAGATGTTGCCCTTCATCCCTGTGTTTTGTATATAAACTCACTTTGTTTTTAAAGAAAGTATGTATACATAGACACAGACTAAAAGCTGATGAAGTTGATGAAGCTGATGGTATGTAGTTGATGGATTACAGGCAATTTTTATTTTCTTCTTGTTTGATATGTAATAAGAGAGAGAGAGAAAAAGATTAGTTAAAAGGAAAAGAAAATGTGGGAGTCCCAATACCCTGCTCTATAAAAAATGGTAACCTTTTCAGGTAAAATAATGGAGAGGTCATGAGGTGGAGGGTGGTGGGCCCTGGTCCAAGTAAGGCTGCCACCCATTTATCCTCTTAACTTTTTGTGTTTTAATATATTTTTTATTGATTTCAGAGAGGGAGAGAGAGAAACATCAATGATGAGAGAGAATCATTAATCAGCTGCCTCCTGCACACCCCACACTGGGGATTGAGCCTGCAACCCAGGCATGTGCCCTGATCAGGAATGAAACTACAACCTACTGGTTCACAGGTCAATACTCAACCACTGAGCCACACTAGCTGGGCCATTTTCTTTAGTTTTATAATGCCTCCTGGAACTGTTTTCAGAATTTTTTTCATCTTTAAAGTTTTATTCTGTAGAGGGTGTTTTTCAAATTTTCAAAGTTATTAAGAGCCAGCTCTGAAGAAATTTTCCCAACGTTGGCTTAAAATGACAAATATATTTGTATGTGACTTTGTAAGGGTCGTGAAACTGACTCAAATTTAATCCAAAAAAACCCTCAACCCAATTTCATCCGAGTGTTTGGGGGCTTAATAGATATATACTTTTAAGTCATTTAAAAGTATACAGTATGGTGTTTTTAACATCCTAAAAACATTGTGTGTAAACCATTTTCTTATCTAGGCCTGTCTGAAATTTTCTTGTATGGGGTAAAGAATTAACAGCAATTCCTTGTGTTGCTTTAAACAATTTAACGAATATTATAATTTTTATTTATTTATTTATTTATTTTGTAAATACAAACCAGAAACTACCTAGGTGCAAGTACTAATTTCGCAGAGCAGCGGCAGCAGGTGAATTTTGGCATGGCCATCCACACCCAGAAAGCCTGATAACCAGCGCTTTTCCTGAATCTGCAAATCACTTTCCAGCTTTTCCCTGTGATCACTGTCTTGCAAAGAAGTGTTTATCACTGCACTGTGAAGAAGGCATTTAAACGATTCCCAGTCATATTTTCATTCAAAGGGTTTTGTCTCCATTTAGCACCCCCCCATCCCCCCCGCCCCGCCCATAGATTTAGCTCCCGATCCCATTGGCCCTGGGGCACAGGAACCTAACTTCTCAGAAGCTCATTTATAGAGACCACCACTTGCTCTGGATGCACAGCGCGTGACACTGAAAAAGGCCTAGGCGTCCGCGTCTCCTGGTGCTCAGGCGGGGCCCCGGCTGTGACCAGATCCACCCGGGGAGACGAGGTATGGATGAGCTGGTGGCGTCCTGGGATTACCGGGCTCGTGGCCAACTGTCCATTTCCTACGCGCCCTGGACGCAGAGTTTTCGGTTTGCCTCTGGGTGCTCTGGGACAGTCGTGTCCGTGACCCGGGCCCACGGGCGGGTGGGGGGTCCAGTGCGGAACTCGGTACCTGCGCTACTCCGGGCGCGGG